GGTGTGTGTGTGTGTGTGTGTGTGTGTGTGTGTGTGTGTGTGTGTGTGTGTGTGTGTGTGTGTGTGTGTGTGTGTGTGTGTGTGTGTGTGTGTGTGTGTGTGTGTGTGTGTGTGTGTGTGTGTGTGTGTGTGTGTGTGTGTGTGTGTGTGTGTGTGTGTGTGTGTGTCAACACTAGACGGACACTAATTAAAGGCAGAGCTCTCCAGACAGCAAACCCTCCCAACACAATTCAATCTCCCCTCACAATCCTCCCTGAACCCACACTCCCACCCACTCTGTTTACCCTGTGTGTGCTGATGGAGGGATTAAAGGTGAGATATCTCAGGGTCATTATAAACAAAAGGGTAATTATGAAAGCTGAAAGTTATTGTCATGGGATGGGACCATGTTTGACCAAAACAACAGCAGTCCAGCTGCAGTCCAGAGAAAGTTACTGTGTTCACAGATAAGGAATGGATGATATTAATTAATCAGGGCTCTGTTTAGGCCAGAGGGCAGGACATATCATAATTGAGTTTGAATCAATTGAGTTTTTTTCAAAAACATCCAAATGATAAGTTTCAAACAAGAAGGTAGTTTTGCTTTTGATTGCATTTAACACCAGGAAGTTGTATTAAATCCTATTGGGGACATAAGGAATTAAAAGAAGATATGATGGAGTCTCCAAACTTTCCCGTAAGAATCACAACAATGTCTACTATTTGAGCACCTCGTATGGGAAGTCATTTACAACAGGAACTATAGGGCTTTGTATTTGCTGTTTGGAGAAGTCCTTTTCGCTGACTTTATAAAAACAGACATTAAAGTAAACAACAGCACTTACCTGGGAAACGTGCTCCAGTTTAACGCCACCAGCTGTCGAACCTCCAAATCATAACAAAGCCGGAGGGAAATTTAAAAAAAATGAGACTCGAAAAAGTACCGAAACCTCACTTCAGCAAACTTTTAAGCGCTTTCACTTTCCGACACACGAGTCAGGCTCGCGTTGGGTTTACTGTAGCTCACCGACTTGGGTTGACAGCCACGTTATCTCCCCCTTTTCTGCTCTTTTAAAACAAATCTTCACCTTGTTGTAATCCCTCCCAGGAAATAATGACAGAGCAGTTTGAGCTGCTGCCGGCGTCAACAGGTGAGAATGAAGTGAGCACGCGGAGAAGGGTGACGACGGAGGCGGGGGCCGGCTAATAAAACTGTTTTGTGTTGTAGGCATAAATGAAGCCCCATGAGCAGACTGCACAGACAAACAGTCCCGTTCAAGTCCTGCACCCAAATGGGATTTCTATTCTGGGAACTGACGGGGCTTTCTCATTGTGGAGTGGCTCAGCTAAAGACTCATCCAGACCAGGCGTAATGCCAGTTCGCGTTGAAGTAAAAGGCCACTTAAATATGTTTCATGAGAAGCTCACATGGGAGGGTTTTAATATTAAAGTGATATAGTCAGGGGGGACTGAGGGTCAGGGTCAGTTGCATCATTTATATTTATTTTTAACATGGTTTGGAGGACAAACGTCATTTGGTCCAATCCTGAGCTTACAAGTGGAGTAGGAAGGGCAATTTTACATGGTTTAAGTATCAGTGGTGGATAATGTAGCACTAAAAAATACAATGTGGGGTAAAAAAAACGTAAAATAACAACAGAATTAGGAAAGGGTGATCATAAAACAATTAGAAATAACACTTTCACATAAAAAAAAAGCATAACAGGAATACCATGAAAATTACCAGGTAGGCCTACTAAAGTAAAAGTCATTAAGTGTGTTGACTTATGACAACTATTAGCCTTAACAATAAAGTACCAAAAGTACTATGCAGAATTTCAGAATAAAATATTATAATATAGAATCATATGATATTAATGTTATTTATTTTATTTTGTATTATTAGAATTGGCAAATTAACTAGTAACTTTAGTTTTCAAATCATGTAGTGAAGTGGAAGTATACATAGCAGAATATAGAAATACTATAGTAAAGTAGGCTATGAACCTACATGCAGTACTAGAGTAAATGTACTCAGACACTCCTTCCGGCTGGTTCTTTCTCGTGACAACCTCAGAGTGAATGTTGAGAATATTTCTTGTTTTTCAGGACTTTCAGACCTTTTGCTCTGCAGTGAAAAATACTCTTTACAAAGCAGTAGTAAAGTAAAATTAAGGGTTTTATACATTTTCATTACATTACAGTGTAACTCCTTACACACACATAGTTGGCGCAGGGATAAACTGTAAATGTGTCACTCTGCAAATACTATTGACACATGGATGGTCATAGCTGAGTAAGTATTAACTTCTGACTTCCAAGCTTTCCAGGTGCCAACTTAAACAAAAACCATGGCCGACCATGACAAACTGATGTTTCTTAGGCAAGTGTACAAACAGTTCAACACTTTGTGAAGAGAAGATAACTCAGAGATTGTTTACAGCTACCTACTAACCTAGGCAAAATATTTTGGCATCAAATTAAATGCAGTACAGGTTTTACTTGTAAATACAGGCAAATATACTTTGTGTAGCCTTAAATACAATTTGTTTACCATTTACAATATGCACTTCCATTGTTGTGAGACCTCAGACAACTGCTTCTTCATGAAATCAGAGTAGATGGACAAAAAACTAAAATCACCTCAGATGACCACAGGTGATTGTAAAGTGAAAAAAATGTAGGTTTCTTCTTCAGAAATAAAAAAAACTTTTATATAAGTAAAAATATGTGAGTGTTGCTTCTTCTTGTTGTGCTTACAGGGAATTTGAGGGTTGTAGTGGTATATAAATAGCATAATATATAGCGTCAAGGCAGTGTGACTAACTACCATTACGAATCATGTGACCTGGATGACTGAGAGTATGTACACATAAGAGTACCAGTGTAAGTCTGTGCAACACTCTTATATTGATCCCAGTAGATTAAAATACCATAAAGCATTACACACTGTACTTACCATTGCATAACAAAGCAACGTGCATTCCTATAACTAAAATGTTATTTGAGATATTTTGCCAACAACTCTACACTTCTTATTGACATTGTATGAGAACATTTTGTTCAATCAAGTACAAGACTCAATACTTGTGGATATACAGTTTAAGTCCCTATAGGAGAGTTTCCTTTAGGGCCTGTTGTGAAGTATGTGCTTAGGGCTATATCTCCTTGACTGGCCTCTTTACTGCTCTTTCTGAATGGGCGGATAGTGTAATAGATTCTCTCCAGTGACATGTGGATGGTGTGAGAGAGAATGGGCAGCACGTTCACGGTGGCACAGTGAAAGTGGGCTGAGGGAGGGACTGAAAGAGGGCTGGCAGATGGGTGACACAGACTTGGTGAAAGGACATCTGGCACCTTAACTTCCCAGCAGAAAAACAGGATCGAGAGAATAGGACCAATTCATGTAGAACCACATGTCTGTAAAACAACATATCTTCAGCTCGATGTTGACAACAGTCACACACCTCCTGTTTTGAATGAAAAAACAATGCAGGTGTCTGTTGGCGAGGACACTTATAGGTGAGGCAGAGGCTAATGCATGTTGTTTATCTGAAGTGCTGACAGAGACAGCTGGGAGATATATTTTGTGTGTGTGTGTGTGTGTGTGTGTGTGTGTGTGTGTGTGTGTGTGTGTGTGTGTGTGTGGACATTGACTTGCATGAGACCAGCCAACACCCACCCACCCAAAGATAACCTTTTCTGCAGCCTTCACATTCTTTTATTCTTAAACAAACCTTTTATTTATAATTGAGTTGCCGTGTTTAAAGCCTTGCAGGCATTTCACTACCAAAACATCAAAGGTATCCATGTAATAGCCCACCTTTATAACAATAAGTCTAGCTGAAAGGAACTGCATTGAATACAGAGCAGACCAACATAGTGTGTGTGTTGGCCTTTTATTAATAAGGATGCGCCAAAGCAAAACTCCTCTTTTGATGCCAATACCTTAACTCTGCAGATACCACATCTGTGTTATACATACACCACTTTCTATCTTACTGTGCAATACAGAAATACATATTTGCCCTGTCTTTTTCTCAATTAAAAGCATGTCAAATTCCGCTTGTTTTTACTGGTCTACAGTTGTTCAAAAGTAAATCCCTTTCTTCCTGTGCAAAGTAACAATAATATAACTTTTAGGACTTTAAGGGATGAGTATTTCCAAATGTCTCAAACCAAACAAATAAAACTAGTTTAAACCTTACATCATGCTTCTATAGTCTAACACACTGGTAATTGGATGTAATATGAGGTTAGCAATTACTGCTATTAAATCTGTTATTAAATGTTAAACGTCACCGACAGAGGTGGTTGGTTTTTTACTGTAATTAATGAGGGTTGGTCACATCAAGAGTGCCTTTCACCCAAAACGTGAATTGTTGAGCACATTTTAAATCCTTACAGGAGAATTTTTTTTTGCATTTGTCTCTGGAAGAGGCATGTGGCTGAGTCAGAGGCCGACACTCCCAAACAAACCTGTCTTACTGGCCGATGAGCGGTTATGTGCAGACTGAGAGCAGCACGTACAGAACACCTGGAAACACAGACGCAGAATTCACTGTTGATACTTGGCATGGATGCTCTTCTTCACATCATGCTAAGATAAAGTTACACATGTCAATGAACATGCTTGTGTATTAGACATCTAGAAGAGCAGAGCTCAAACCCATGGCAATCTGGCCCTCTGAATGATTCTGAATGCAAATAGTTTCAATTTCCTGCCAAGTAAAAAAGGCTGTGGCTGGCAGCAGTGTGTGTGTGTGTGTGTGTGTGTGTGTGTGTGTGTGTGTGTGTGTGTGTGTGTGTGTGTGTCCTCAGCTTAAGGAGTCCGGAATCACTGGGAAGGCCATGTGGAAGAACTCAATTGTCCCAGTTAAGCATTCATGAATACTAAACTCAACCTTGAATGGAACATTCCTATCTGAGCTTTCCATCTTGAAGATTTCCTCGCCGATTCATAATAGCACAGCTGAATAGGGTACGTTACATAGCTGTCTTTGTCAAAAAAAGTACTCATGTTTGTCGGTTAAAATAGAGCCGATTGCATTTTTATTCTAAAACATTGTCATATTAACGTCGGCATACAAATGGCCGTAACTTTTCAAATACACATCTTTAGATTAACATAAATATACACAATAAAGCACTTTATGTTAAACAATTATTGATTAACGTATCTGTTTAGATTCAAAAATGTAAATGTTAATCATTTGCTATGTGGAACATGCATTGTAATCCTTGCACAGACACTTTCTGATTTCATGATAGTATGATGGTTATGATAGTGATTCCTTGGTTAAAGTAGTTCCTCCCTTTTGCAAGACATTCAGACTTCCTGTACTCCACAAACCAGATTAGCAGGCACTGAAACATCTGCAAAGTAATAGAAAAACAAAACTGCTTCAGAAACAGTAGAATGTATGGTGACAAGCAAAATCTTTAAATATGGGTCTGTGCACTGAACAACCTTGAAAATGTTTTTTTTGGCCCAGGAATTAGAATGTATATCTTTACAGAACACAGGTTGAGGGTAAACTATAGAAAGAAATGTGTTGATACCTATTTTGCTAGGCTTGGGGAGATTCAGGTTGTTCATGATGTTCACAAACTCATCCACGCTTTTGGTCAAGCGCAGGTTGAACCTGCGCTCTTCACCGACCGTAGACGCCGTCTGACCTGATACAAAAAGACAAAAACCGCCCAATTCATCAGCATATTGAACCGTCAGATATTAGCTCATTAATCAGTATGCATTGAATATCATTTTTGAAATGAATATAATATACATAATACAACATATAAATCACCTATTCAATTATTGTATATTTTCATAGGTTGGGCTATTTAGCTGTATTTAGAGTCACTAAAAGTAGCCTCCCCTTTACCAGGTGAAACATTAAAGTGATGTACTCTTGAAATGGGCTTTTCTACATAATGATTCACTTTAATTGTTGTATTTGAAGTAGATTGATATTAATTCTTCTATACCTTTGAATTAAATGTATAGATGTTTTCAAGGGGAGTATTATGAGGTCGATGGAAGCCTGAGGAGCTATGGATTAGTACCTCATACAACCCAAATAAATAAATGAATATATTTAAGTAAGTTAGTAAGTAAGACTTTGAATGCAAGGCTATAACAGAATATTTGTACACTGCTCTTATACAAGGAACATATCAGAATTCTTCTTCCAACAATGTTAAAAGGTAAATTATTGTCAGGAACGACATGTCTGAAAATCTTGACCAATTTGCACTTATATTTATACAAACACTCCTGTAACACTGTGTCTATCAAATCAGTACTGATTGCTACAGGTTTGAATATACTGGCAAAAGCTTTGAAAAGTATGCAGGTTCTGCTGTAAATGTTCACAACCAGTGACTCTACAGCAGGGGTGCCCAACCTTTTTTGAACCGAGAGCTACTTTTAAAGTTGCCAGTCTGCCGAGATCTACCAGTCCAAATAGAGAGGTGTAGCCATTACTGACAGCCTACTACCAGGTAAATACACACTTCTACTTGTATACAACTGACCTTTGTACGATTAATACTCCATAAAATACTGCAGATCCTTCTTACCTCTTTCTAATCTACACACATACAAGTATTTAACTGAAGTTACACAACAGTGTTGTTGATACAAAGTTGGAGTTTATTCACACGTCACTACAGTGGGTAATGTTTTCAAGAAACATTGAACAGTGCTGCCACATATGACACAGGACAAAAAGAAAAGACTCTGAACCCTTTCTTTGCCATTGTATAAAAATAGTGTTGCTACAAAAGTATAAATGAGGCTTACTAATAAGACAACTCAGATCTGAAGCTACACCGGAATCTGCTGCCAAAGTGCAATAAAAAAGACAAAATTAATATAATCAAACCCTTTTTTTGTTGCATTTTAGTAGATTATAAAAAGAAATGCCTTTAAAATAGGATGCAAGCAACACTAGTTTCTTAACCTGAATTGATAAGACTATAATCAATTTAAACAGAACAGATCTTAATGTTTGCATTCTTATACCATTTTGTACAATAATTATAATGAATAAGTTCAAACAAACTAAAACTTACAGCTGATTAATAACGATAACTAACTTGAATCAAAAACCTGTTGAAATGCTACTGTTATGTTTACTGTCCCCAAAAAGTGCGTCGGCAGCCTCCAGGAATGCTTCTTACACAACTTCGCCATCTTTGAAAGACTTCATGTGTTTCGCAAGAACGTGACTGACACGATAAGATGCTATGGTAGCAGCCTTGCTCTTGTTGTTGGGCCTGGTGAAAATGGACTGCTGTGCATTTAGCTGTCCTCTCAGGCCCCTCACCTTTTGGGAGCGTCGAGCAGAATTAGGAGGGAATTCCGTCTCGTAGCGTTTGTGCACTGTTTTGAAATGCCGCTCCTAAATTATCCTTCTTCGATAAAGCCACGCTCGCATTGCAGATGAGACAGATGGACTTTGAATTGGAATAGATACAAAAATAATCATCCTCCCACTCCGAGTGAAAATTATATATTTGGGGCTTTTTTGCTTCTGCCATTGCTGTCTTGTGTGTGTGCGGACTGTCACTCCTGTTGACACGGACAACGTCAGCGAACTAGTGCCCACTGCCCACAAGCCACGCCCCGACACATCACGCCGGCCAATCACAAAGCTTTGATGCGTTCAAGTGCATTATTCTGGCACAGGAAGATGATGTTATAGGACATTAACGATAAAACAGAATATTGTTGTTCTATTTTTGGACACATCTCGCGATCGACTGGGAATCTCCCCGCGATCGACCGGTCGATCGCGATCGACTGGTTGGGCACCCCTGCTCTACAGTATGATATGTGATAAAAAACTTCAGATGTGTTTTTCATCTAACCTAAGTAGTCATGTGCTGGGTAGACGAGGCACTGGTCTGGCAGAGTGAAGATCTTCTGATGGACCGATTCATAGAGCTTCTTCGCGCAGCCTGAATTAGAAACAACAATTTGCACAACTCCAAAATAAAACAGTCACAATACTGACCTCTTCTGTTCATCTATAAGTATTACAACAATAACTGCTTTAGACCAGTGTGCGGGAAAACAATTTGTAAGTGTATGTCTACCCTGCTGAAAGTCCGTCCTGCCACAGCCTCTGATGAGCAGAGCATCTCCAGTAAAAGCCATGCTCTGATCGCCAGACACCAGCGACATGCAGCCATCAGTGTGTCCTGGTGTGTCTCTCACTGTCAGATACTACAGCGGGAGAAGAGACAAAGGCATGTGAACATTTGCTTACCAAGCCATTTTAAATTAAAAAGTCCAGATCTTTACAGAGAAACAGATGATACATATCCAAAATACAATATCCAGAATACTGATAAATATCAAATCAAGATACAAAAAAATGCAAAACACTACAAGCAATCAATCCTCTTTCAATCTTTTTTTTATTAAGATTGTTTTGCACTGATTCCATGCAAGGAAAAAAGTAATACATTCTTCTCACATGTTTTCCAAAGGAGATCTTGTCTCCCTCTGACAGGAGCATGTCTGCTGAGGCACCACTGTATTTGGAGATTGCACTCTTCAGCCCAACCAATCTTTTCTTCATCAGCCCAGTGCTTGTGATGTGGTCCGCATGGCAGTGGGTGTTTACTATCAGAAAAAAGAAAATAGTAAAGGCTTCAACAGGGTTTGGAAATAAAATCATGGATACCTTGAATACAAGTCTGCGGTATACATTACTACCTTTTAAGGAGGTTATGTTTTTAGGTTCATTTTGTCAACAGGATTACAGAAAGAAGCACTGTCCCGATGTTCATTAAACTTAGCAGAATGGTGATGCATGGCGAAATTAAAAAATCCAATTTAATTTTGGAGTGCATCCAATTTACAGTGCCGATGTTTTAACATGATCTACAGAGTACAAGGTGCCTGGCTTATCTGAGTTTACAGTTTTGGGAAAAGTGAGGTTCACTTTGAGCATCCAGATTGTAGGTGAAGTTATTCCACGTGATAATAACCCTTTTCTTGAGCAAAGTTCCTCCTTACTTTGTGGAATAAGCAAAATTATCTAAAAAAACGTTCCCTCCAGCTTACTGCTCCAGTTAAAGGGTTGCATTATCCTTGAGTATACTGCTGAAACATACCTCATATGATTATGTTCAGTGTTAATGTATATATTTAAATAAATACATACTAAAAGAGAGGTTTTTTATGCTCGATGACAAGGTGGGACACCACATATTGAAAATGAGTTGGAATCTATGAAATAACACCATATCTTTTATCCCAGCATCAGAAAGTTTAGGTACCTGCCACTTTTAGATTGAGTCCCAGTTCATGTATGAGCTTCAGGTCCCTGTCGATAGTCTCCAGTACAGGATCGATGAGGACTGCCTCCTTGGTCTCTGTGTCTGCCAGCAAGTAGGTGTAAGTGCTGCTCTCTAATTCAAACAACTAAACAGGAAAAGGGTAAGGTTAGGACACAGGAGTGACTCAGCAAATCTTTACAAACAATGAGTGGTAATGAGGCACATTCTCCACGTAGTGTGTGCTTGTAGATGTGGGAGATAGCGAGAAAGAACTACAGGAAGAACAGATTATGATGTAGTTACTTGTTGACAATGCAAAGTGAGGTTTTAATGTAGTTGGAAAGTTAGAAGTATTGATAGATATATCATTAGTGTTTGGAACTAAATGACACATGTTGTATATTTAAAAAACTAAAAATATCAACTTGACAAAACAATCTTAATTTGCTTGGTCCTGAATACTTTATTGTACTCACGTTTGTACTGAGTATTTACATTTTATTTAACTTTTTTCTTTTAATCCACTACATTAAGAGATACTAAGAGAGAAATATTGTTCTTTTTGAATTCACTATCATCTATGTTTGTGATGAACTAAACCTTAATGGGTTGAGAAAATGATCATACTTGTTGGGCAACTATTTAAAAACCTTCTTGGATCAGCTTGAGAATGGTTTGTAACAAAGTTGAAAACTGCTCTTTTTTAAGCTCACACAAAGTTTTCAGTGTCATGTGGTTCTCATAGGATAGTGAGGCAGCATCTGACCATTTTATAGATCATTATGCTCAAATTAAACTACACAAAAGCTAAAGAAGCACATTATCACAAAATCAACACATAACACAGCAGTATTATTAATCATCATATATAATGGTAAACACTGACAGGTAACATGTTGCTGCCAAATATATCTATGTTCACTTTTCATACTTTAAGTGCATGTTAGTGATAATACTTCCATAACTTAGGTTTTGAAGGCAGGACTTTTACTTGTACAGGAATATTTACATTGTGTGGTATTAGTATGTGTACTAATGCAAGGATCTGAATACTTCTTTTAGCACTGTGGAGCTTTTGAACGTGTTTTTTGTCATTTTCAATTGAAATATAGATTTGATACAGAGGTGAGCTGCACAAAAAGTAGGTAAGAGGACATTAAGTTGAGATTGTTTTGTCAACTTAATACAAGGTAAATGATTAACAACTCCAAAGGTTATATCTGCTGTAACTCTCTCTGAATTAGGCTGGACAGCAGGCACACCTTAATGTCCACTGCTGTGTTATTATGTTAGAACCATTGCCGTTACATTACAGGATCAAGTTTGCAACGTTATTGCAACATTTTGAGCACATTAGAGAAGTCAAAGTGAGCTATGTCCATACAACTCTCCACAGACATGATCGTATAGTTTGGCTCCATTTTAAATCACAACCCTGAATGCAAAAGGCTGTAGGCTAACTCCACCTAGCTCCCTTCCTTTTGCTACAAAAACAAACATTGCATTTAAAACCCTTTAGGCCTAGGCTACTTGATAAAAAAAACAATTTACTGAAGAACAACATTGCAAAGTTATATTTATAATACCGTACTTGTCTGAACAGCAGTCCTTCGGTCAGCGCCATCCTGGAGCAGTATGATCTGCTGGTAGCTTTTAGCGGGTCGGTGACAGCACTCAAGCCGGGACAGAAGCGCCTAATCTCGGCCGCTGCGTAACTCGAACCCTCGGTGGTTGCTCTGAGGCGGAGCGTGAGAGCCAGAGCCAGAGCCCGTTGGACTGGGTTCACTCTGCTTATTACCGAGCACATTGTTATTCAAAATAATCCGATAGGCTGTAGCCGCTTTATCCTCGAGCTAATGTAAAATAATGTCCAATTTCTACCAAGAAAACTCACAGCTCAAAGTCGTTTGAAAGCTTGTCTCTCACCTTGGAAGTAATTAACCCAGAGACAATATTGGTGCTGCATAGTCAATAACTTTTACAGCAGCTGTAACTGGGGCCATAACCATTGTTTGTTGTTACTGAGCAATGTGGGTTAGGGGTAGTCCACTACAGTCCAGCAAATCAACTTCCTCCTCCACACCCAGATTAGATAAAAATGACCTACAGTCTGCAAAGTCAGGTCATGTCGGTCTATTGCAGTGCACAATAATCAGCCATGCATGAGCCATGCATGCAAAGGCATGCACCCACACGCCACATATAGTCGTCTGCAGCGGTGGCCTACGTGACTGTTGGCATGCTTTTATCAGGAAGTCTCATAACCCAAAACAAAACTGGTTACGATTACAGTGCAGCCATTAATGCTGTCACCTGACATGACCTGACATACTAGTTTTTTTTTTCTTCATTTAATTTAATTTTGCGGTTCAGGACCATGATTAGGCTATATGATTTAGATCACCTTAGTTAAATAATAATTAAAAAGATAAAACAACAACTTTAAAGCATGAGTGGCGAAGTCACGCCCATCTACTTCCGTCCCCATGGGACCTTATTTCTGAAAAATTAGGCTTGTTTGAGACTGTAGAGGCTTCTCAATACTCAAATTTCCCCTCCTCGACTCCTCGGTCCTCGGTCCTCCGGTAGTGACCCGGAAATGAATTTCAGCGCGCCATTTTGAAGGACATCTCATTTCTCTAAATGCACACCGAGGACCGAGGATCGAGCGTCGAGGAGGCTCTCTGGAGGAGCTCTAACCGAGGATACACTGATGGTTCCTCCACGGCTCCTCCACGGATGCATTTCCGGGAACGGTGGAGGCGTGACGCACGGCCGGATTTATCTCAGCCAATGACAGCTATGCATGCATCCCCTGGATATTATTTTAGAAATTGCTTTCATCGCGTCGCGATGTTTCCAGAGAGAACAGCTGTAAGGTCCATGCAGAAAGCAGAGCAGTGTCATGGCAGATTAAAACATGGATGTATAATAAAAAGGATTAAAAGCGAATTGACGACACTACACGACACGCCCACCTGGCACGACACTACGGTGGCTGAGAGACCGTACATGGCAGATTAAAAACGAATTGCAATTGTTATTGTAGCATTTTAAGCAACTATTAGGCAAATAAATTAATAACCTATCAGTTTGAGAACCCCTTATCCCATTTTGATGGTTGACATCTCATTTAGTGAAAGCCAGAATGACAGCAGGGGTGAATTTTATTTTATAATTTTGCAATAAATCAAAGATATGTTTACTGTATATTATAAAAATGCTTGTCATGTAGGCATACTGGAGATGGAAAGGCTTTAGTCAGTGTTGTAGCTGAGATTCTTACCGTTCCAATGATGTATGGGATGTATTAATAATAATTGGATACTTGGATTTATATAGCACCTTTCATGAGACCCAAGGTCCCTTTAAAAAGAAGAACAGGAGTAGAAACAAACATAACAAAAGGCAGTCAGACAAAACAAAAAATAGATTTGGAGCCAAAGGCATTGGCAGACAGATGGGACTTGAGGGCCCTTTTGAAGGCGTCAAGCGTGGGGATGTTGCAGATCTCCGCAGGGAGAGCGTTCCAGAGAGTGGGGGGCTGCCATACTGAAGGCTCTGTCCCAGAAGGATCGCAGGTTGGTGCAGGGGGCCAGAGTCTGAAGACCACAGGTTCCGGGGTAGGGCATGTGGGAATTGTATTGATTTGATACAAGCAAGCCAGTGTTTCATTGTGTACTTTCAACTACAGTATATGGTCCGGCAAGTTCAGCATTCACTGTGATGTGCATGAAAGAGCAAAGGAATGAACAGGTATGTGTGGAGGGAGTTAACTCCTTGCAGACGTACATGGAAAACAATAACAACACATAAATGACTGAGCCACTCGGAATCTTTTCCAGATTTGACAACACAGAGTATAACATGTACAATTTTGATTATGATGTCGATTCAGAGAATCATGTGTTTAATCATATAAGTGACTCGTGTAAATATTATACCGATGATCAATTTAATGACAATGTTGGACTTGAAAATACATTTTCTTTAATACATGTCAACTGCAGGAGTCTGTATGCAAACTTTAATAAGATCCCTGAATACCTACATACATTTCAAAGTAAATTTAAAGTAATTGCCATATCGGAGACTTGGCTAAATAAAGACGAAGTCACTGATTTCCAAATTGAGGGTTACGTGCTACACCATATCAACAGAACCAATAAGAGAGGAGGGGGTGTGGCTCTTTATGTGGACAGCGTCCTAAAATGCACACTGGTTGAAAAAATGTCAATTGTGACTGATGATTTAATGGAATGCATAACTATAGAAATTGAAATGGAAAGGAAGAGAAATGTTGTTGTGACTTGTGCATATAGAGCACCAGGATCAAATGTAGAGCTTTTTAAAGATAGTTTAGGAGTATTAATGGATGGCCTAAATGAAAATAAAACATGTATTATTTGTGGGGATTTTAACATCGACCTTCTAAATGTATCTAAACACAAAACAACTTCTGATTTCCTGGATGCATTGTACAGCAGGGGGCTTTATCCCCTAATCACTAAACCCAGTAGAATAACATCAACTTGTGCAACATTGATCGACAATATCTTTACAAATGTCATGGAAAACAGTGCTAAGAGTGGGCTAATAATAAATGACATAAGCGACCATTTACCTGTATTTGTAGCATATGATTGACAATTAAAGAAAAATAAGGAAGAGACTCGCAGTAGATATGTCAGGGTAAGGACTGCTGAAGCAAAAGACACATTTAGGAGTGACCTCTTAAAGGAAGAGTGGAGAGGGGTTTATGTAGAAGATGTAAATGCTGCATATGAGTCTTTCCTAAAAATCTACATATCACTGTATGACAAACATTGTCCCACTGTACTCCGTACATATAAAGGTACTTATCATCAAAAGCCTTGGATAACCAAGGGCTTACAAAATGCTTGCAAGAAGAAAAATAACCTTTATAAAGACTTCATAAAATGTAGGACAAAGGCAATTGAAAAGCAATACAAGGCATATAAAAATAAGTTGATAGTTATAATGAGACAAGCAAAAAGAGAATATTATAATAATATGTTAAAAGAAAAGAAAAATGATATCAAGGGCACATGGAAAATCTTAAATAATGTTATTGGAAATAAATCTGTATCCACTGGCCTGCCCAGTCACTTCATTGATGACAAAAATAAGGTTGTAAAAAACATGAATGAAGTGGTACATGAATTCAACTATTTTTTTGTAAATGTCGGACCTAATCTTGCAAAGACTATTCCAAAACAACACGATGGGCAAAAAGAGGATGGCGGAATTGGGGGAAGTAAAGTGTTGCAGTCAATGTTTCTGGGAGAGATAAACGAAATTGAAATTAGATCCATTGTAGACAAATGCAAAAATAAGACTTCGACAGATAGTGATGGGATCGACATGACAATAGTGAAAACGACTATTGACTGCATAATTAAACCGCTAAGCTACATTTTTAATCTTTCATTTCAGACAGGTATTTTCCCAGATAGCATGAAAATAGCTAAAGTTATCCCACTTTTTAAAACAGGGGACAAAAGCCAATTTACCAACCAGTGTCCTTGCTTTCACAATTTTCAAAGGTCCTTGAGAAATTGTTTGTCCAAAAATTTGATAATTTTATTGAAAAAAACGAGTTATTGGGTGAGAGTCAGTATGGATTTAGGAAAAATCGCTCTACAGCTTTAGCTTTAATGAAAATAACAGAAGAAATTACAACAGCTATAGAAAGAAAAAAATACACAATAGGTGTATTTATTGACTTAAAAAAGGCATTTGACACCATAGACCATTACCTATTAATTTCGAAATTACATAGATACGGAGTGAGAGGAGTAGTTCTAGATTGGTTAAAAAGTTATTTAGATAACAGACAACAATATGTAGAATTTGCTGGTAGTACATCGGAGTGTATGAACATAGAATGTGGTGTCCCGCAGGGCTTGGTTTTAGGGCCTACACTTTTTATTTTGTACATCAATGACATACAGTATGTGAAACGTCAACATTATTGCAATTTGTGTTGTTTGCAGACGACACAAATGTATTTTGTTCAGGAGATGATTTAAACATTTTAGCAAAGTGTATTGGACATGAAATGGTCAAACTTAAAAGATGGTTTGATGAAAATAAGTTAATCCTAAATTTGAATAAAACGAAGTTTATGGTTTTTGCTAATAGAAAAAAAGATGAAAATATTTCACTGTCCATTGATGGAGTTTTTATTGAAAGGGTTTCTGAATTTCGATTCTTAGGTGTGACGCTGGATGAAAACCTGACATGGAAATCACAAATAGCACATGTTAAAACGAAAGTGTCTAGGAATATTTCTGTTCTAAACAAGGCAAAGTATTTGCTAGATTACAAGGCATTGAGGATGTTGTACTGTTCACTCATTTTGCCATTTTTCATTTATTGTATAGAAGTGTGGGGCAACACGTATATGACCAACATAAAGCCATTGTCAATATTACAGAAAAGGGCAGTAAGAATAATTCATAAAGCTGACTCAAGAGAACACACCAACAGACTGTTTTTTAAGTCAGGACTCTTGAAACTCAAAGACATAGCTGAGCTGCAGACATTATCAGTAATGCATAAAGCAGAATGTTACCAGCATATTTACAACAGTTGTTTGTTTTTGGATCAGACAATGAAGACCACAGAAGGAAATTAAATTTTAAGCATCCATATGCAAGGACTACTCTTAAACAAATGTGTATTTCGGTAGTTGGTGTACAATTGTGGAATTCTCAACACAAGGATCTAAAGAATTGTATATGTATTTTTCAGTTAAAGAAGTTGTATAAATTAAGAAAGATGGGACTATATGAAGCAGAATGTGAATAAGTCTATGTACTCTGGTCCTTCATGTTTTTGATGTCTTTGATGTGATGTCTCCTCTGTATTTGCGGGTCCCATTGCCATTGTTATTGTTGTTATTGTTATTATTATCATCATGTGTCGCTTTCCACCTTCTTCTCCAGTAGGACTCAGATGAGGGTGTTGCACTTTTCTTTTCCTTATACCTGTGATGTTTTGGTGTTGTTTTGTTTATTTCCGTTAACCGTCAAGTGGGAAATAAGTATTTTTTTGTTGTTGTGTGTTTCTCTTAGTATCCTACGGAGCCCCCTAGGGGACATGGAGAAGAAGAAAAAAATTATTTGAAAAAAAATAAAATGTTTTGCGAGATATCGCAAAACCTTTGCGAGATCTCGCTCGGATGACGGCGCGTATCGAACTGTTCTGATAAAAACGACTCTGTAGCTCGTTGTCTACCTTGCTATGATTGTAAAGTCATGTTGTTTGTATTTTTACAACGTTATGTTCATGAGTTATTGATCCGCGAAATTCGAATCTGTCAATAACTCAGCTCAGAGGGACGTGCATGTCCCCTCGCTCTGAGTGATTGATTGATTGATTGAAAAGTTTATTAACAGCTTGTATATTGGGTACAGTACAGTACAGCTCAAAACATACAATTGTTAAGGGGATGCAGACCAGAGAAAGACTTTCGTCTTGTTTACACCAGGGTCCCCTATTTCCAATTC